GGATGCGACTGTAGTAGAATTTTGGTATGTAATGATTTAGCAAAAAAAACTTTTTTTATTTTTTTTTTTGTCTTCTGCTGTGGAGGTTAACAAGTAGCAACAACTTTGTAAGACAAAGTTATGGTTTCCCTCATCCATATTAATTACTGCAACTGAACAATTATTGTAGGGAAATTTTCATACATACCATTTATAACATTCTATTTACATATCTAACACGCTAAATTTTAATATTACATGCATACCACTATCTTATTTTAATATCAAATATATCACTTTTATTTCTTTCTTACCACTAATATATTTCATTTATACCACTCATATTTGACAAGAAAAAGAATTATGAGTGGTATGTATGTAATATTAAACTTTCAGTTGTTAAATATGTAAATAGAATAGTATAAGGTGATATGTTTGTAAATCTCATGCTGGGAATTGGTTCAACAATTGTTTGATCCAATTTAGCAATTGAATCAACTCTGTTTTTCAAAAACATTAAAAGCAGTTAAGGTAATAAAAGATGGAACAATAGAGTTTTCTTTTCACTATGGTAAAAAAAAACCATTAGACCCTCTTGTCATTAAATTAATTTAAAATTCACTCTTCATTTACTTTAATTAATCTAATCACCTGATCTTAATTATGATACTTCAATAATTGGTTCAATTCAATAAAAGGGAACATTCACATCCAACTAATACATCGACAAAATGATATACATAACCAAATTTGTAATTGCAGTCATTGGTGCCTTAAACAAAAAAAACTGAGCATCATTATAAGGATGCAGAGATGAGTGTTAAAAACTGCATTTGAAAGCTGACCACTTTCCTTTGGCTCCGAACCTGGTGTCTGTGCCTGAGCAGGATTTGCAAGATTAGCAACATCTGGAAGTGGCGGGTCGACCACATCTACAGGCCTGAGAGGAGGTTCTGGTGATTGAGCCGGAGGTAGGGCCTCAGGCGCAGCCAGCCCGGCTAGACCTCCAGCCTCTGCTGGTAAGATTGTGTAGGAAAGCTTAGCATTGAGATTTGAGCATGGAGTCCCTGTAGAATCCAATTCAGCAGTGAAAGTTTCATGTCAAAATTTCTACTTTTTTAACACTTCAACATACAAACATGATATGCTTCTAAATCTTATAAACTTCATGAGAAATAACATCACTCTTTAAAATTGATTTTGGGGCAGTTTGATTTCTTCTTATTGTTCTTTTTGTTGATTTATAAAAAAAACCTAAGTAAATGTATGCTTGTGTTATTTAAGCACATGAATAACTAGTATGAAAGATCATAGGATGAAACAGCGACAAATATTGCAACTCAGAATTTAACTCAAATAGGATTTAGTAAAACTTGCAAATTCAAATTTTGTAAATCCTAGAGGTGTTATATTACTAAATATTGTCAGGCCATGATGAATATTAAATCTTGTTTAGTAGTAATAAGTTGTTTGGCAAATTTTTTCATGATTTAAGTTTTATATTAAGGAAAAGAAGAGGCACTGTTAGAGAAAAGTGGTGTAAATTTCGTAAATCTTACAACATATGCGAAAACAATGATAAATATTAGTTTCCATTGACAGTGAAATATGTAGTTTTGAGTAAAGCAAATATGATGATGCAACGGTGAATGCTTACTCAAGTATGCTCTTGCTGTTGCAGGGAATTCAGTGATTAGACCATCCACACCAATTCCACCAACAAATGTAGCAATTTCAACTATTGGATCTGAAAAGAAATCGTAAGCTATCGTTGTAAATTCATTTCTGAGCACAGATACATAAACAGATATATTTGATTTATGCATCTCCGTTGTAATGTCGGTGTAATGAGAAATGAAAGCACCATCATAAGCCATTAGAGACGATCTTATAACATTAATAGCATTAGCAAATTGTTTGATCTCATCCACAGTTGGCTTTGGTGCATCGCCGACTTGCTCTGGAATCAAGAGAACATATTCATAGAAGGTGTTCTTCTTCTTAAATGCTGAAAGAACTGAAGAGTCGTCAGACTGGATTAAAACTCTCTTTGTTTTGTCTTTGTCATAGCTCGCATTAACCAATGCAGTCGAAACGGCGTCGACTATACTTAGACCCTTCTTTGATGCTAGATAGGGAGCATTCTGGAGATTAAAGAGTAACAATTAGAACATCGATATTTGATAAGTTATCTAAAAATGTATGTCTGCTTTGATACCTTAATATTGATTAAGACGCCTGGAACACTACTGTTTTTGGCAAAGGATAGGAATTCAGATAATGTCAGGATTTTGCCCATGTTCTTAGCGGCTGGATTTCTTACCAAACCAAGTGATGAGTAGGGGCTAACCAAATTAGCTGAAAAAGGGAAATGAAATGTTTCATCTTTCTTCTTGAACACATAAAACAAAGAAAAAAAGAAGAACAACTCTTACGTTTCAAGCTTTGGATTTCAATCCAAGTGAGATCGAATGTGAAGATTCCAGTGTTGTTTTGGATCTCAGGTATTGTTGTAGACTTCGACATGAATTTAGGCATTGCGGTTGTGCTTCCTGAAAGATCTGCTGAGTCTAAACAAAATAAAATGGCATCTTTTGACATTTGAACGGAACAATCAATGATATCTGCACCATCATCTACTGCTTGTTTATAAGCAATATCAGTGCTTCCAGGATAGATTCCACTTGCACCATTGTGAGTTATAACCAATGGTTGACCTGTATATGATGTACATTGTTTTCAGCCTAAGTTTCAAGCATTTACATTAAGATATGATAATGAATAAGAAAGAGAATTACTGAACTTGCCTTCACCCGAGAGAGCTTTGTTCTTGTTATGGGCAAAGCAAGCTGCATGCACAATATAGGAGAGACTTATCAAAAAGATCAAGTTCAAAGTAACTCTAAAGGATAAAGAATTAGGGGAGAGAGAATTCAATCATTAAGAGAAAACAGAGGAAAAAAAAATCAACACACAAAATACACCAAAAAATTTATGTATTGTCAAATCACTATGTTGATGTTTTATTATTTTTACAAAATTTAAAGTATTAGAAATAAGGGGAGACTAATGCTTCGTTTGAGATAACTTTTTTACTGCTTCTTAAAGTAGCTTTTTAATAAAAAAATTAAAATTTTTGTACTAAAAAATTGTTTTAAGAAGCAATAAAAAAACCGTCCCAAATAAAATCTTAAGTTAATCGCTAAGCACAAAAATAACATAACATAGAATAGAAGATCAAAGCACAAAGTAAACCAAGAATTTATGTGTCATTGTAGAAACAACAGATTTCACTATAGTGGAGTTTTCTGTTCTTATAATCCTAATTTCTACAAACACTACATAAAGACGACCGCTTTTTTTATATATACATAAACTTATGTGCCTTAAAATCCCAAATATGCCCTCCATGAAACAAGCAATTCGTAAATATTGTACAATTTTTTTTATCTTTAAGATTACATCGGAATAGCATAAATTTTTTATAGGGCAAAAAATAAACTCTGCAACTTATAATAAACCTAAGAAGGAAAAGAAGATAACAAATTTCAACTTACCAATAGCCTCTGATGCAGTGGAAGGAAAGTCAGTGACAACTCCATCAACAGAGAATTTTGAAT